AATGATTTCCACCCGACCTCGATGCGCTTTTGGAGAAGGACCCATTTGTAACTCTTTGCCAAGCCAAGGCCAAACCATCGGCGATCTATCTTGGTGGATGCGATGGTGGTAAATCGACGATGCACTACATGGTATGGGGGCAAAGAGAAGAGTGAATAAAGTAAGAAGAAGAGGTCTGGTGGGTGGAGCCTCAAAGTCGATCAAGTTCACGAGCCCTCAATCATGGATTCTTCCAATGCTCGTGACTTGAGATTTCACCTCACCGACGAGAACCTCAACTTCAAGGAAGTTCTTGGGTGGACCGAAATTTGAGGAGCAACCGTCCGACTTACGACGTTAAAGAAGCGCTTGGTGGGAGGCAACCCATCTACCATCGATTTGTTTGCTTTCCGCTCCAGTAAGAAGACCATTGAAGAGATTTTGGTGCTGTTTTGGACGTGACCACGCTTTTCCGGAGCTCACCCGCCCTCCACTCCCGAGCACAAACATTCACAACTTGACCGGTAACATTGTTCTATCCCCTTATTTTACGCCATTGAGGGCAATGTCGAGCTTAAGTGTGGGGGGTCGGGGGGTAGTCCATAATGCATGTGTGTGTGTGTGTGTGAATGTTTGGTGTGGTTTTGAATGCTTGGAGCCTTGATGTATGCCCAAATTTGAAAAATTTTAGGGCTCCAAGCATAACAACTTCTACATTTGCATGATCATAGTGGCACCTTGTGGTGATTTGTTTTGAATCTCTTGGTTATTAGCATTATCTATGGATGATTTGCTTGTGATTTTGTGCAACGTACGATGATGACTGAGACATGTATTAGGTTTGTGCATAGGTTCATTGCTCATGTGTTTGTGAACCGATAGATGTTTTGAATCGATTACTTGCTTTTCACAGTTACCTATGCATTGAGTTTAGGGAATTAGAACGAATGATTGAGCACCTAGGTAGCCATGTGAGACTTGTGTCGTTCGTTTCGTTCTTATGTGATAGATCCCCCTTTACATGATGCATAGCAGTCACGTTGTTGATCGCAAGGAAGATGGAGGAATACGTTTAGTCCACGACCCAAATGTTGACCGTCCCGATTTTATTATCCCCTAGTCAACCCTTTTGAGCATGTGTCTAAGGGTCGCTCTCATTTTAGGTAGCTCTCGCTACTTGAGCTTGATTGATTTAGATAGAGCGACCCTACTTTCTTCGTGTTTGCACCTTATCGAGTCACCCTTGTGTTTGGAAGCCCTATTCATATCATTTGAGCTTAAACAAGGTTCCACCTTAGTGATTTGTGTATGGTTCTGCTAAGAAGTGAAGTGAGTGTGGAGGCAGTTTTTCAAAGTGAGCATTGTTCCTTAAGTTCAAAAATGTGGCATGTTTTTTTAGCTCTCTATAGCCCCCAAAGAAAAGAGAAAAGAAAAAAAAGAGATCAATAAGAGGGCAAAGAAGAGAAGAGAGTGGCCACCAAAAATATAATAAGTGTTGAACATGCTCTTAGAAGTGTTGCTTAGCATGCAAGCTATAGGAACACTTACATGTTGTTGACCTATACACTCTTGTGCTTAAAATTGAATAGCAAATGTAGCGAGAAAGTAAGCGTGATATGGTTTGGTGATTGGTTGTGGTTTGGAATTGTGGGAAGTGCGGTTTTAGGCCAATGCTAGTGGCCGTTGTTTGTAGGGAAGGTTCTAGTCGAAACCATAGAATCTTGTGTCTTAGGTTGAAGATGTGGAACCTCATGTTTTGTTTTCCACCACCCAAAAAGCCTTTTCCCCATGTCCTAGACCCTAGCCAGCCATTTGAACCTGTGTCTAAGACCTCTGGACAAGCTAGCAACGACACCCATCTTGTGAACTCTAACATTTAGAGGTTACCGTCATGATAAAGAGATGTTAAAGACTGAGCGTGAATATGTACATCTTTTGCATCAAATGGTCTTGAACCCACTTGTCGAGAGTGAGTGATTCATTCATCATGTTTTGTTCATTTCTTATACCCCAGTGAGGACCTAGGGTGCTCGATCGTTTGTTCTATGATGTGATTGTCATGCAGGAGTAACTGTGATTGGTGAGTCGTCGAGGCATGTTGTGTGTTGGTTGATGAATAATGTGAGAACTTTTCGTGTGCACAATCTTAATACAGTTGAAAGTCGTTTGTGGTGGTTGCCATGCTTACCTTGTTTTGGTCCATAGATTGATGTTAAATAACCATTGTAATTCATTCGTATTGTGCCCTATGACTTGCCCCAAAAAAATTGTGTTGAAAAAGAAGTTGTCAGCTTACCTTGTTTTGTACTTGGTTTGCTTGGGGACAAGCAAACGTCTAAGTGGGGGGGGGGGGGGGGGGGGGGGCGTGATTCGGGCTCAAATGTAGACATTTTACCCCTAATTTCTTATTCGTTTAGCTTAGTATTTTATCGTTCCTCGACATATTTCATGCTAGGTTGTGCTTGTTTTGATATGTTTCAAGTCCTGCCACGTGTGGAAGGACCGAGGTCAAATTTTGGGATAATTGGAGGTCAAAAAGCGCAAAAACCAAAGAAAAGTCTGAGAAACAGCCGCAGTTCACGGTCGGACAAGGCAGGCGAGTTCATGGGCCATGAACATCAAGGCGTCCAGGGCGAAATCCGAAGTTACTGGCGCCAGGCGAGTTGACGGTCTCTAAGCCCGTGAACTGGGGCCATTGACCGTGAACCTAGGAAGCAAAGCGGTGCATTTTGGAGACGACTGAGTTCACGGACGCGTTTTGGTGTTCACGGCCGTGAACTGGCCAACGCGTCCATGAATTGATCACTTTCGGGCAAATATGAAGACACCAGCGGAGAGAGAGAAAGGGAGAGCTGGTTTTTGGAGAATGAACACTTTCTTTCTCTAGGGTTTCAACCTAAAACACCAAATGGGAGTTCTAGTGTGTGAGAGAGAGAGAGAGTGCTAGAGTGATCTTGGAGCATCATTGGAGGATTAGGTGGAGATTCAAGCCTAGAAGAAGAAGAAGATCTTGAGCTCAAATTTGTAATCCCTCTCTCACTCACTCTTTTCTCTTGGGTGTTGTATATCCCTAACTAATACTTTGTAATTACTTGTGTAGATTGAATGATTGTCATTTGGTATTGTTTAATTCAACGATTGATTGATGTATTATTCATGTTGATTGTGCATGCTTGTGCTTAGCAATCTAAGGGTTGTGCATGTTTTGTGCTTAGCATACTTAGGTTTGTGCATGTTGGTGCTTAGCAACCTAAGGATTGTGCATAATTGTGCTTAGCATCCTTAGGTTTGTGCATGTAGGTGCTTTGTAATCTTATTAGCCACTTTAACCTAGCTTAGAGAGGAAAATCCCCCTTCCAAGGGAGACTCAATCGAGTTGGTTTTCCTTTAGCTTTTTAAGCCACCTAACTAGGTTAATTTAGGGCAAACCTCAATGTTGAATTAAGCAAATTGGTTAAGCGCGATTAAGCCGTCCAACCCTTGAGTTGAGTGAGGGAGTAAGTCAACCACCGATTGCCTAAACCGAGAGGGCCGAGTGACACGGCCTATAATGTTTACCTCGGTTTAGCAATTGAGATTGTGGTCTACGACCATATTTGCATCCCTCTGCGGTTCGCGGTTACCTTTTCCATAGCAATCGTTTCAATCCAGCGAGTCACGGTAGCTAGTTAGGGGGAAGCAACTCCTGGGTGAAGCTCCCTTAGTTAGAATTTTCCTTTATTTACTTTTCTTTGCTTGTTTCATTTGTAGTTTTCTTAGTTTAAAAACCCAAAACCGTTTTTGCTAGATAACAACTTAAGGGATTGAATTAGGGGTACATGGATCGGCCCGGGTTGACAATTTAAATACTTTTTCTATACTGCACCCGGTTAGAGTTTAAAAACTTTGGCTCTAGTAGGGATTAATTTATGGTGTAGTTTCCTGCGAGTCAGTAGTCAGGGCATGCTCATTGTGAGTGCAAACTGGATTACTTTTTGGTTTGGTGAAGATCGAGATCCATTACAAAATGACTTCAATCCCTTCATTTTAAAAGTACAAGCAATGAGAAGATATATCCTAGGATTGTGAGTTGGTCACACATACTCCTACACTGTCTCCTTCATCTCCTCTCCCTCGACACCGTTCTCCGACCTTCGACGTCCTTTTCCTCTAGTGGCTCTCTCTCCGACCCGGTTGTCGTCCTTATGGGCACACGTTTTGATGTTCTTCAGGTTTTGGAACGAAGTGGAGATGACTCAGATGAAGTTCCAGTGGGGTTCCCTCCCTAATTGCTACGATATTCTACGGTTCCAATGTTTTGGGATTGAGAACACATAATGGGGTTTCTGGCGTCAGAACCAAGATTTTCCAATGATGAGGCGATGAAGTTGTGAAGAAGGAGATGGTAGTCAAGGCATCAAAGAAAGAGACCAAATTATATAAGAAGGCTAAATTGTCTATTAGCAATTAAGGCCCAAATTCTATATCTATAAACAAGCAAGCCAAATCCCTTATTACAAATTGGGATGAATTACACGATTGGTCAACCAAATTACATAAATATTTCATGTTTGCCACCCGAATTACAAACCTTGCTTATTGGTCACTCACTTTACGAAACATTTCACCGTAGCCACTGGACGTCAGCCTCCGTCAGACTCCGTTAACGGCGTCAGATTTTTGATGATGTGGCAAACGAAAAATCTGACTGGGCCGACAGAAAGGCTGAATAATTTCGTAAAGTAGGTGCTGACATGGAATGGGCGGGAAAAATCATTTCCCCCCATTTTCTCTGTCATTTTGAATGAGTTTTACATATTTAAATGGTTTTTCCTCCAAAAGACTCTTCCCATCTCCATTTTCCTTCTGCCTGCTTCTCTATCTTCTTCTGGCTTCCATTTTCCTTCAACGTCCTTCTCTATCTTTTTCCTTGTCCTTCTCTATCTTCTTCCTCGTCTTCTTCAACACAAAGTGCTATTTGGAGACTGTCGATCTGAGTAATGGCTACTCCATGTTGTCACTGTGGGTACCCAACTGATTTAAGGACTAGCTGGACCGATGCCAATCCTGGACGGAGATTCTATGGATGTAGCAAGTTTGGGGTAAGACAATCTGATTCTCCTTTCTTTTAGTGTTTTAGAATCTGACCATTCTAACGATTCTCATTGTGTTTTGTTATGAAGACGAACAGAGCATGCAATTATTTTCGATGGTATGACCCAGCTCTTGATGAGCATATGAGATGCATTGTTCAGAATTTCCATCGTCGTATAATAGAGTTAGAGAGAAGACAACCGAGGGGAGCATACAAAATAAGCTTCAAAATGGCTTCCATCCTCACTGTTGTAGTCCTTGTTGTTGTTTTCATTCTGCTGGGAAAGTAGCAATGTGTGTTAGAAGAAGAATATGATGTTTCATTGGTATCACTAGAATAATATTTTTCTTTCATCTGTACTACTAGAATGTTGTTTTCCTTTCATCTGTACCACTGTAATATTGTTTTTCTTTTCACCAAGGCCACTCCAATGTCATTTTCCTTTATTTTGTACCACCTTGATCAGACCATAACCGGACACCATATATTGGAAACAAAAGCCATTCATCTTTACTAAACATCTACAACTGAGCTACTCAAAAGAGCCATTCATCTTTACTAAACAACTGTGAAAGTTTTACGACTGAGCTACTCAAAATAGCCATTCATCTTCACTGAACACCTGGGAAAGTTTGACAACTAAGCTACTCAAAAGAGCCATTCATAATGAGGGGTGGCATTCTGTACTTCTATTCCATCATCTTGCCTATATCTAGATTCATCATCCTCAGCATCACTCTCCAAAACATCTTCAACTTCCTCATTAGCCATAGCATACAACTCGATAATCCTAGGAGGTTGATTAGCTGTTGATGCCATCTCCATCAAGTCTTCATCTTTAGTAATCTCCATCATTGTTTCTTCTAATGGAGCTTTCCAAAAAAATTTTGGATTTGTCTGCTTCCCACCACACTCCTTGTAGATATCCGGCAAGTCGAGGACAGACAACTTATCAACATCAGCATAATCATAGTAAACCAGAGAGTTATCCTTCATAAATTTCTTCGCACCCTTCTTTTCGATTTCATAGTCCAAGTGTACTTCAAAGCTAAATTCATCACTAAATTTACCTGTTTGAATAAAAAGAATCCAAAGAAAGGTATTAGAAAAGGATACATGTTAGCTACTGCATATATCATGCATATATCAACCAACAGTAGTATGTACTAGTAATAAAGAGACTACACCAACCCATCAGCTAAACAGCAAATGCAATGAAGACAAAATGAATGCTTATTCTATTCAAAAGCCATCCACATGTTTTCAACCTAATAAACAATGATGCAACTGACATTACTCCATAAAGACAAGAACCTCACCATATTTGGGGATAGGAGCATTCGGTTGCCGCACATGTCCCACCATATTGCTTCACAAACGTGACCAGCAACCTGGAAAATGACAAGATACAGTGAAAATCGAATAAAGAGATGGCGACTTTTCCCCTTTTCCCTTTTCCCTTTCGTCCATATCGAATCCCTTTCCCAATGCAAAAGGAAGACGAAAAATGACTTTATCACCTTTGGGTTCTGCTTTCTTGCCGCCAGAACACCACAGATGCAAGTTGGAGTAGCGAATTGGGAGATTGTTCTTCAGGTCACGATTCTAGGGTTTCTGTCCTTCTCACCACAATATAAGAACGAGTAGTATAAGAAGAAGGAAGGAAGGAAGGAAGACGATGAAGATTGGGCTTTTTTGCTCCTCACCTGTACCTCCCCTGTATGTCTCCTGCCGGCCGACTCTCCCCTGCACGCTCTGCTGGAGTGAAGAAAGGGAGGAAGAAGGAAAGCACGACAAGAGGAAAGAAGAAGGGGAATCGGGTTCTTCATCCGTAAAAAAAAAGAATAATTAAAGCAAAGTAAAAATAAATAAAAAGAATGGGCTCCGTCCTTTTCCGGGTCGGGTGCTTTGCTGGCTCGGGTATTCAGGCTGATTCAGCCTTTCTGTCGGCCCAGTCAGATTTTTCGTTTGCCACGTCATCAAAAATCTGACGCCGTTAACTGACGGAGGCTGACGTCCAGTGGCTACGGTGAAATGTTTCGTAAAGTGAGGGACCAATAAGCAAGGTTTGTAATTCGGGTGGCAAACGTGAAATATTTATGTAATTTGGGTGACCAATCGTGTAATTCATCCTTACAAATTGTATGGCTTCTAAGTGAAAAATCTGAGTCCAAATTCTTCATTCAAAAAACCAGATAACTTGTATAAGGCTAACCACAACTTTGTTGGGTATTAGCGGAAATGTGGTATGATTTAGGATCAACACAAAGGAAACATGGTGTTTAATCACTCAATTTAAGAAACACTCAAACAAACAAGGCCTTAAGTCTCTTGCTATTACAAACAGATACACAACCAGAGGACTTGGTTTCCTTTCTTTTTTTTTATGCTTCTCTGACACAACTCTCTGCTTTGCCCACGTTACATATATATATATATATATATATATATATATATATATATGGCAAAGGCTAGCATACGTCCGGGCGTACGCTAGCGTACCGTACACCCTATTGAGTTTTGCTATTTAGACAAAGAATTAATCGGAGTTTGGGACATGATACTATACCCTAACCCCTAATGGGTGAATCCCAGTCCCCAATTCACTAACCCAAAGCATGAGATTCGTTTAATCTTAAAAATGAAAATCAACGATTCTGATTCGTCAAAATTTTCATTGGTTTTCATTTTAAGATTAAACGAACCTCATGGTTTGGGTTAGAAAATTAGGGACTAGGGTTCACCCATTAGAGGTTAGGGTATAGTATCATGCCCTATGACTTCTTGCTTGATTATTGTAGACATGCATGTGAGCATTCAAACCTTTGGCCCATGCATTCATGGCCTTGTGTCTTCTTCAACGTGGATCATCCTTGGCTACTCATTTCCATGAGCTAGAAGTAGAGAAAGAACAATCCATGTTCCATCATAAATTCACAAGCATGATTAATCCATAATTGATAATATTGAGGTCCACCATGTGTGATGTTTAGTGATGGTAAGGATTGATTGCAAATTACGATTCAACACCCCCTCTTAATTTGCAATTCAGAGTAGCTCCTTCAACTTTTTGAATTTGTCACGGGTAACCGCCTTTGTCATGATATCTGCTGGCTGGTCGTCGGTGTTGATAAATTCCATCACGATTAATCCTTCGTTGACGAGGTCTCGGATTAAATGATGACGCAACTCGATATGCTTCGATCTTGCGTGAAATACCGGATTTTTTGTCATGGCTATGGCTGACATGTTGTCACAGTGAATAATGGCTGGACCATTTTCACTTTGCTGCAGATCAGAAATTAATCTTTTTATCCATATCGCTTCGCATGCTGCATCAGTAGCTGCGATATATTCTGCTTCCGCTGAAGATAATGCCACAGTTTTCTGCTTCTTTGAACTCCAGGAAATGGGTTTTGAACCGAGGCAAAATATGAACCCCGATGTGCTTTTTTGATCATCTAGTGATAGTGCCCAGTCACTATCGGTAAATCCAGTCAGCTTGCTTTCTGCTTCTTTCTTGTACGTCAGACCCAATTTTTTTTGTACCTTGAAGATACCGCAAAATTTTTTTCGCTGCTGCAAAATGAAGTTTTCTAGGTTCATTCATAAATCTTGATATAAGACTTACTGAATGACATATATCTGGCCTGATATGTGTCAGGTAAATGAGTGACCCGACAAGACTTCTGTAAAGCTTTCCATCGACTTTTTCAGCTCCATCAATGCGTTGCAATTTCTTGATTAACGCCATCGGTGTTGAGATTGGTTTGCCCGTTGCCATGTGAAATCTTTTGAGCATATCCTCGGTGTACTTCTCCTGTGAAATAAATATTTCTCCAGGCAAATGCTTCACTTGGATCCCAAGAAAATATTTCATGAGTCCTAAATTCGTCATCTCGAATTCTTTCATCATGGTACTTTTGAATTCTTTGATCATATGCTGACTTGTACCTGTGTAAATCAAGTCATCAACATATAAACAAACCATTAGAAAATCTTTGTCTTTTCCCTTTTTGATGTAAAGAGATGCTTCACTTGGACTTCTTTGAAAATCCGTTTTGCTGAAAATATCGATCAATTCTGCTATTCCAGGCTCTCGGTGCTTGCTTCAGCCCGTATAAAGCCTTTCGGAGACGATAGACTTTGTCTTCTTCTCCTTTTTTCTCATAGCCTCGTGGTTGTTCCATATAGACTTCTTCTTCTAGTTCTCCATTCAGAAATGCTGATTTGACATCTAGCTGGTATACTGGTAACTCCAGTTGAGCTGCTAGAGCGAGAACTGTTCTGATGGTCTCCATCCTCGTTACTGGTGCATATGTCTCGTGAAAATCATTACCGGGCTGCTGTGAATAGCCCTTTGCCACCAGTCTAGCTTTGTACTTCTGGATAGAACCATCTTCATTGAATTTGATTTTATAGATCCATTTGAGGCCTATAACCGACTTGTCCTCCGGTTGATCAACAAGCTCCCATGTTTTGTTTTTCTCGATCATGGAAATTTATGCATCCATTGCCTCATTCCAAACTTCTTCTTGGGCTGCCTCTTCAAAGACTTGAGGCTCACAAGAAAAATATGCAACATGACTTGTTTCATAAATTTCTCGCAAAGACCTTGTTCTCAACGGAGGTGAATCCGAGTCTGTTACGATGTCTCTGAAGTTGTCTCCTTCTGGGCTAGGTGCATAATTTCTTTCTGGACTTGCAACTAGATCTGGGTCATTGCTGGTGTCTTCTGGGGTTGTTGAGTCCTCCAGAATTTCATAACTTGGTGGAGATTGAGAAAGTGGATTTTCCCAATTCCACTCCGCCATCTCATCAAAGATCACATTTCGGGAAACCACCACTTCATTCTTTACTGGATTATAAAGACGATAGCCTTTGGACTCATCACTGTAGCCAGTGAAGATAAGCTTCTCTCCCTTCTGGTAAAACTTGTCTCGGTTTGGGGTAGAAATATGTGCATAAGCTATGCACCCAAAGACTTTGAGGTGATCCACCTGTGGCCTCTGGTGGTGCCACGCATGTATCGGTGTCTTGTTCCATACTGCTTTGGTTGGTGATCTGTTGAGGATGTAAATTGTCGTGTTGACTGCTTCTGCCCACAAGTTTTTGGGAAGCTTCTTAGCTTTGAGCATACTTCTCGCCATCTCCACAATCGTACGGTTTTTCCGTTCTGCCACGCCATTTTGTTGTGGTGTGTAACGAACCGTCAGCTGCCTTTTGATTCCGTTGTTGTGGCAATACTCCATGAACGGAGTATAAATAAATTCTCCTCCACGATCTGTACGAAGAGTTTTGATTTGATGGCCGCTATCCTTCTCAGCTACTGCTTGAAATTGAAGGAACTTGGGAAAAGCTTCCGACTTTTTCTCTAGAAAGAATACCCACACCATTCTGGTGAAGTCATCTACAAATAGTAG